ACTACTTGCCCGTAAAATTCCAGAATCTTAAAACCCCTGTTTCAGCAACTATTTGCCCGTACCCGTAGGTGCAGGACTCTGGCTCACAATGCTGGCAGTTATAGGAGCAAATAGAGTTTATTTTTACATACAAAATAGCTAAATAAAAACACCAGAATCATGTAGAGTGGGTTAATACGAACATTTTAAGACTAAAATGATAAGGGTAATTTCAGCAGTTACAGAGAGATGGATCAATCAAAATCTCTCAATGTCTTGGTCAATGAGTCTTTGGTTTGGTAGTATGTAACATGGAGTTAATCTGCAGTGTCCACACACTAAATCCCACTTATTATTATACAATACAGTTTCATAATTGCTTGAAACCTCTTCTTATTTGGAAAACCTGCATAAATTCACCCATTACCTTTCTAAATAGGTCAGTAATTGAAAAGTACTGTTTTACTCCTATGATCTGTGGGTGTGGCATATTTTGAAGCTTTTGAAGAATCCCTGGACATACTCCGAGGGACGATTTACTGCACCTCTCTCGGTTATTTCTGTGCAATACTCACACTCATGACGACCATACACGGGCATATGTCCTTCTGACGTTAAAATGTGGTATTAGTGGATTTCTTAAAGCTGTTTTCGGAGAATGTCTAAAGTCAAGACCTGCCCCTGTGAAGAACCCTTAATCCTCAGAGCTTTTGGCATGAAAGAATGAGATATACGTTTCCCATAGGAGCAGCAAATCCTTCATGTCTAAACAGACGAGAAAGAATTCCACTTGTAACAAACTGTCTTTAAAATATACCACTCCTCTATCTCACACACTTTGTTATTATTTGACTGTCACCAGTTTTGAATTGTCCGAGAAAAAAATCATTGAAGGTTATAGCGCAAATGAACTTTGGCCTTTGCAAAGCTGACAGCTCACTACACTAGACTAATGCTAAGATTAGCCCAGTCATTAAAATATTATGTTCCAAAACCAATGAAAATATGGATTATGTTAAGCAGGGAATAACAACTGGTCTGGTTTTGATGGATATTAACCATTGTTCAGCCCATACAGAGTATACTGTGTGTAGCCTACACGGTTTGAGATGTGGTAACACCAGCAAATACTGATTGGAATATCCTATGAAACTATAGGCTGACCGCACTTTTTAAATAGTTGAGGTACTGGATTAAGTATACCATTCAAGTCACAAGCCAGCTTTCAAAATAACCAAATCCAGTGAATTTAAGATGGTCATTCTCAACTGATGTCAATAATCTGTTTTAGGCATTGTAGTCGTACCTACCTCTGGCTCTACCTAATCATATGCTATGTTTAAATACCAAAACCAACATTTGATTACCTTTGATGTTGTGTTTTGTATGAAATAAAATAAGTAAAACCAAACTTTAGCAAAATATGATTTATTTTATAAGAGATTTTCATGATGTTGTAAATATTTTTGACAGCAATTAAATAGAGAGATGTTGGAAAATCTGTTTTGGGGGTCTTTAACAAAAAAAAAAAAAAAAAAAAAAAAAAGCATGGTCTTTTACAGCAGCAGATTTATGTGGCCCTGATCCACATAAAATTGGAGGAACTTTGAAAGATTGATCTCTCAGATACACCTCTGGCCTAAAAATTAATACAACATATTTCCAATCAGAAATCACAAGACCATTTTCTCAGCCACAATAAAAACAAAACATAGTTGACCTAAATAATAATGAAAGCACCAATGTGCAAACATCAACAAAAGTGAGAAGTCATATTTATCATGTTATTGTATTCAGCCAACATTGATTGGCATGTCAATATTTTATTGGCATGTCAATATTTTATTGGCTAAACTGTTGCTAGGTGATGTGGCTGGCTACAGTCCAGACATTAGGGCGTTTTTTAACATTTTTTTTAATGCCATCAGCAGCCAGTAAGTGGAGTCTGGAGCTGGTTTGTATTTTGTCTTTGAATTTTGCCCCACCAAATTGAACTGTTTTGCATATTTAAAGGTCAACCAACATTAAGCCAATGATGTTCATTTTGTCTTCTTATATACTTTAACTTCTTAGGTTCTTTTTAAAGACAATGCAGTAAAGTGTATTTACCTTGTTGACATGTTTCGGCTGCTAGCTGCAAGCCATCATGCAGCTGGCAGCCGAAACATGTCAACAAGGTAAATACACTTTACTGCATTGTCTTTAAAAAGAACCTAAGAAGTCAACCAACATTATTAAGCAAACTGAATGGCTCATAAAACCAAATTCAATATTTCAGACTTGATGTATTGCATTTGCTTTCAAAGGACGTCAACACATTACTCAACATACTGATTTAATAATTGCAAGTGACAGCAAATACCTGACTGCTGAAACACTTCAACTGAACTTTCTGTAACATAAATCAAATGCATATTCGTCACGCTTCTTGGATAACTGGACATAATCGTCCACATAATTACTGACAGGAAAGACAGAACATGAGGACTTAATAGGAAGGAAAAACTTTATTCCTGAAGTAAATTTTGACACGACACAGTGGTCCTCAGAGCAGGTTATTGCTGTGAATGACAGTTATAATGACTCATGGTTCTCTGTAATCTCAAACATCTGCTGTTGTCACGCTAAAGTTGGCCTGGCCCACATCACTGTCCAACTAATCTCACGTTCACACAGATTCCCTCATGATCTACATGCGTGTCCTTCTTATTCACCAATCAAGCAAAACATTATGAACTGACCGTGATGCATCCACAGATGTAAATTTGTTGGTAATATATATATATATATATATATATATATATATATATATATATATATATATATATATATTTTTTTTTTTTTTTTATATCTGAAACTGACCACATAAACATTTTTGGAAATGCTTCAGTTCAATAGTGAATATTTTTTCCTCATACATTCTCAGCATCAACAAGCATCAATTATCATAGGGTTTTATAGCTCCTGTTTAGGGCAATTGTTCATCATTCAAATGATAGATTGTTTTACTTTTTTAAATTGTAAACTAAACAATGGTAATTTGAAAACTCTTGTCCATCATAGACACATGTACAGACACACCCAGCACCCTCTGCACAGCACCTTGACTGAACAGGAGAGAACCTTTGGGGGACAGGCTGTTGACTAAGTTTTGCTCCACAGAAAGATTCTGGAAGTCATTTGTCTCAAATGCCACATGTCTGTACAATGGATCCCTATTGATACAGTTAATGTCATCAACATTCTCTGGGGGTGTGATACTAACTGTAAACACTGCTCTGTCTGAAGCTCTGTTACTCAAGACTTTAGGCTTTAATCTGATCTTTATTTTAACATAATCTCATCATAAAAAACTGATTTAGCTAAAACTACAACAGGAGAGCTGGTTTGTGCCATTAAGTATTTCACACATAAAATTACAGAAGCATTAGCCAGCAGTTGTTCAGTGAGTTGACCACTTTTGTTTTAAATCAAATGCCTAAACAGGACCATGAACACTTAAATTGATCATACACACGGAAATGTGTTTTTTAAATCAATTTTATTAATATTTAGATTTAGATTTAGATTCCAGATGATATGAAATATTTTTTTTCACCATGTTGAATGAACATTCTATGAACATAAACATACATGTAGAACACCCCCAGTGTAATATCACTGCAAAGTATCAATAGCTGATGAGAGTAACAGAACAGAATCTTAAATTTAGATATAGTTTCTATGTTATTGCTGCTGTCGAACTCAGTCTTCTGTCTCTCTATTTGTTTTGTAAGCTTCTGGGAGCTGTGCAGGTTTAATTCTTGTTTGCTTTTTGATATAAATTAAGTAATGTTAATAAGATAATAATGAGTCAACTCTCATATATATTTTAAGTGTTTTAACACATAAACTTTGAGGATAATGTTAACTAGTAATGTAGGGCTGTGTATTGTGTAAAAATGCATTCAGACTGCTGTCAATGGTCATAATATTATGCTTGATCGGGTTATATACGATATCCATCAAAACTAATTCATTATCCTTTGCTTCACAAGACATTTATTTTGTTTGGCCTCCCACAGTGTTTGAACCCAATTTGTTGTATGGCATTGTAACGGTGGGTATTAAATGAAAACAAAGTACATTTTCCTTGTACAGTAATGAAATCCCAAATATTTGACCTAAGCTGACCCCATGTGGAAACAGCAGAGTAGAGGCCAGTGCTGGAGTTTCCTGTGTCCCCTTTGTATTTGACTGGCTCATTATTGATTTTTCAGACTAATTATAATCATGCACTAGACCCTTCCATGTAACACAACTGAATCTAACCTTATTACAGCGTACTATTTACACAACAACAGTTTTACACAAATACAAAATGAAATCTGTGTATTTGCATCACTTACCATAACAACAACTCTGTGATGAGTTGCCAAGAAGGGATCTTTTTAATACAACTCAACAGTGTATTTTTGTTTTTTTTAGATTATGTAAGAAATTCAAGGCTGTTGAATATTAGTGGAGTGATTGAAGTTAAAAAAAAAAAAAAAATCATCATCTGGACAAGGTTTATAAAGATGTCTTTTTTCTTCATCAAAGCACCAAATCTGATCTGATTTTTTGAGAAAGCTGGTTATAATTCTGAGAGAGAATTTATTCCATGAAACTTGATGAATGAGTTCTACTCTGTGTATGACCTATGACCCCTCCCCTTCAAGACTATGAGATTTAGCTCACAAAAATGTAGTACTCTGGTGCCTCTCTTTTTAGATTTAAAGTAATGGTATTATTCTGATTAAATGAAATACCTATTGAAGTCTAGTTTTTTAAAATGAAAGACTGAGGATTAATATAATTACAATGCTATAATTTCAAACTTTCAAATTATTTATCAAGTCTTAGTTTGGTATATTATTAAATGCATGTTTCTTCCTAGCCTGAATCTACAACTTTAGAACCAATCACCATTGAGAGGCGAGTCATTTCAGCAAGCTTCTACAAAATCTTCAAACTTTATCTTTAATTATCTTTGTGGTGTGTTTCCAAGTATATGAATTAACTTCAAATCATTAATAAAACATGTTGTTGTGTAAACAGGACCATTGCTCTCACCAAAATGCTTTTAATGACAACACGACACTGAGGTATGACATTGTAGTTTAAACCAAAGAACAGCCATCTTCATCATTATCCCAGGCCTTTTCTCTACTGTATAATGGACACTTAGTCACACTTTTTGTATGTATGTTTTTTGCCCTGCTTCTTAATAATTGAAATCAGTGCAATTTCAGCCACTGATCAAGGCACAAGTCACTGTGAAGCACCTCTCTGTCTGAGTAGAGCTTGTTTTATAGACATTTAGACATTCCTTTTTTCAATAAATAACACAAATATATTCATACATCATATATAGATAGATAAACATGTATACTCTACATGCATTTTTAATATAATTTAATTAACTTATATATTTACATTTGCCCCCACAAGTTCTGGAGCTTGTCTCAGCATGTGGCAGTGGAATGTCGCCTTAGCATCCATAGTATCCTTAATTTGACACATATTCCCGACAGGAATTTAAATCCTACAAGAAGTTCAGTGTTTTGTTTAGAAATATCTTTACGTCCGGCGTCGTTTTCTTGATAACGCACAAACGCAGGAAGTGTCTATGCGTATCCACCTCCACCCCACAGTGTTTCGAACTTGAGTCAAAGCCCTAACAAAAGTTTGTGTCGTCTTACATTGTGAATTCCAGTTTTTGCTGTCAATTCCTCTGCAACCCGCTTTGGACGGCCGCTCACTTTGACAACGTGTCTCGTAAAAGTACTGTTTAATATCCTCCCTGGCGTTGGTTCGTATTTTTGCCAGGACCGTGACCAGTGACCCCCTATCGTCCACCGCCTCCGTCCGATCCGTGACCCAGCGACTCTGGCTATCACAAACTGAGTACTCCCCTCTGTAGCTCCGGTGCTCCGCGTAGCGCTTCTTCCTTGTTCTGTTCCCACCTTCGGACGTCCCACTGGAAAAATCATCTGAAAGATACAATGGAGGAGGTTGCAATGGCGGCCGATCACTTAACAAAACTCGCGGTGAGTGGTATCTTTTATGTTGCCGAAGTAGATCTGAATGCACCACCATAACATTTTGGTCCAATACATCCTCTATGTCCCACTGCTCATCCATGCTGTTGCCCCCTAGTGGAAGATTCGGGGGTAAAGGCGGTAAAGTATCCTGGATGTCGTGGATTTCAGGGTCCCTGCTCCTGCCGTGTTGGTCCTGGTTTGTTTTGGACTTGCCCCGGGTGAGGTCGGCCTGGAGCAGTTGGATGATGAGGGAGTTGAGGGGGTCTGCGCTGGGCTGCTGGGGCTGCTCCTGCTGCTGCTGTCTGCGGCTGCTGTGGTCCACGGTGGTCGCCTGGATGCCATAGAGGTACACGAGGACCATAATGTAGAGCAGGATAGACATCACTAGATTCACCTGTAAGACCTGCACACAACAAAACAGAAAAAAGAGGAGAACAGTGTTAAGATTCAGGTACTTTGGATACAAGGTGCATTGTGTAACTTTTCTGGTGGAGGGTTTGACACCTGCTCTTCTCCATGTAGATGTTATTGCTTTGTCTGGAAGGTTCTGGTATGGAATCCATCTATCTGGGCATTTACTCAATAACATGTTTTTTTATTGACCTAAAACCTTGCATTCATACTCTGAGTGGGCTTGCTTCTCCAGATCTGACAGCTAACTTGGCTCTGTGGCATTAACTGTAGTCTCTGTACAGATTAAAGAAAAAAAAAGTGTAATGATATTGTTACGCTCCAGGCCGAGCTATGCCTTGCCCTTCCTGCCGTTCTCCCGTTGTCTCTCGGTGTCTTCGCCTCCCTCCACTGCCCTGTCTGCTGGCTCCACCACAGGGCCAGGGTCGGGCGCAAGCTCTCCCCCTCCTCCTCCTGCTCCACCCTGCTGCCAAGACCATCTCTGTTTCATATTTTTATCATAAATGTCCGTACGGGAGGGTAAAAACGTCGCCATTGACGTGTCCTCCCTCATTTGTTGCGGCCTTTTGAGCCAGGGCCGTAACAAACATACTGTGCTACATTCCGGGCAACATCTCCATGGAGGGAAGCAGGTGACCCTCCACCAGAGAAGTTACACAGTGCACCTTTAATGTCATGTGAGGATATTTTACATTATTTATGTTTAAGTTTTCAATGTTTTTCAGAACTCCCAAACATAAAGGAGTATCTAAATGAATTCCATTCCTACTTCTGCATGACATACGAAGGTTTTGTAAAGAGTAAAGTTTGTAATATCAAGTTAGAAAGCATGCTAATAAATGCAAAAATAATACAGTAATTTAAGTATCAACAAATATAACAAATTACCCAAATGATAGTGATGACCCTGCCATATTTCCAATCACAGCTTTTGCTTTGCCTTCCAACACATCACCTGTCAATGTGTTCCTATAAATGCACTCTCTCTCCCCTCTGTCACAACAACTATACTCAGCAGACCTCCTCTTAATAGCAGCAGCAGAACCATCAGCCTCAACAGACTGCTCATCTTCTCCTCTTCACTACCACCAGTATCAAGGTTCCAGGAAAACATTTCTCATTCTACATTCTACATTTCTCTTCTAACTTCTACACTATCCTATTTCTAGACCTTTCAAGTTACTTACAGAACATGCAAACAGCACAATTTGATGTGAGGAGTCAGATGGACAATGATCAAGAAGAAATCAGATCAGATATTTTTTGCTGTTTACATTTCATTTAAATAATATTTCATTTCCAAGAATCAGATTTGGCGTGTGCATGTAATCACAGCCAATGAAGTGTCACAATTTATCCATCAACTAATCACTTTTTTTTTTCATTTGTCTCTGTCAGTTTCACCCAGCAGGCTGAACTGTCATCAGGAGCATGTCAGAAAAAGTTCAGTATAGCTGGCTGTTCCCTGCACTTAACGCATCGTTCCATTCTCCAGATCTGAGCCAAGAGGAGCTGGAGGTCCCACTGCTTAGAGATTGGCCCCACACAGTTCTGTACATGATTTGGCCTTTACCTCTCCACAGTGAGTCTATGAAGAACACATTTAAAGCCATCTCCTTGTTTTCGAAGCAGTCTGTGCTGAAGTTTGTTACAGTGAGCGAGTGGATTTGCCCTTTGGTAAAAATATTTCTTTTTGTTTGAATCCAGATCGGGGACTGCTGAAAAGTGCTCCCAGAGCTCTCAGTGCAGACCGCTCTCTCAGACAAATGAGTATGTTTTAAGTGTTCTTGGTATTTACACTCATGACATAAAAGAGACACAGACAGCCATTTCTGAAAGCATATCCAACTGAAGAATATACAGTACTGTGAAATATTGGGTTTAAATAGTTTGGAATGAATTGGTGTTAGAAAAATGTACAGCCCAGTCTTTGCCAACCCTTTCAAACCAAGAACAACTTAATTGGCTTTCTACATACCATTTAAGAAACTTAAAGGTGCACTTTTCTGATGGAGGGTCCGCTACCTGTTCGTCTTCATGGAGATTTCATTTCCTTGTTATGGGATGTTCCACAGTATGGCATGAACTTATCTATTTCCATGGAGCCACACTAGGCCTTGATACAGGTTAGATCTGTGGAGAGCTCCTCATTAAGAATACTTATTAATGATTTCAATTAGTTTTTTAGCAATAAAAACACCTAGACAGGAAGGTTAAATATCAAACTGTGGGACATACCAGGCAAAGCAATAAAATCTCCATGGAGACAAGCAGGTGAGAGGCTTTCTAACTGGGAAAGTTACATATCCACATATCCAGATGTAGACAGACTAATAATAAAGGATTACTCAAACATGTGTGAATGAAACAAAACACAACTTCAGGTACATTTTTGATGATTAAAACATGGATTAAAGCTCACAAGAGTCAATTTTGTGTAATATCTTCTTTGAGAATGAATAGATAGGAGGAAAACAAAATGTGACTATAAATTTAAGATATCTAAAATGGTGGCGTACTGTGAGGACAACCGCTTCTATGTACATCCCTCTGGGCTCAAAGCTGCTGAGACAAGCTTCAGACATTTTTGGCATTCTAATAAATACAAAAATGTATTGGTATTTGGAGCAGTTTGATAAACCAAAACATAACGACCCACCCCCGACCTAATTTAAACAATTATTATATTAGATAAATTAATTCTTTGACTATGAGTAATTTCAGCTGCATTCACCCGAAAAAACTCATCGCCAATGACGTTTGAGCTGTTAGACTGAAGCATTTATGGAAAGTTTCATGTTTAAACATGTACTTTTGAGTACTGCATCATTACATTAACTGAAAATGCTCTCCGACAAATTACTACTTGTACCATTCTGAGTCACACCTCTTAAATAAGGGTTTAGGCAAATATTTTTATGCTCATAGTAAAAGAGTACATTGCACTGTAAAATGTGCTCTATGTCTTTAAGTAATTCAAATAAAAGCTGTTTTTGTCCAAATAAACTTGCATTAGATCAGCTATGAAGATTTCTTTTAAAAAGTTACATAACTCAACACTTTGGTACTGCGGTCAGGCTAAATATCTTCTGAACTGGGGTTTTTAGATTCAGATATAGTCTAGTTTAAAACATTTCTCTTTCAATTTTGCATAAATCATAGATGAATATCAATTCTCAAATATTCTTATATATTCTAATCACCACGTCTTGGAGAAATATTTATAGCAGCAGCAACAGCAGCAGCAGCAGCAGCAGCAGCAGTTGTAGTAGTGGTAGTATCACTAGTAGTAGTAGCAGTAGTAGTAGCAGCAGTAGTAGTAGTATTAGTAGCAGTAGTAGCAGTAGTAGTTTCAGTAGTATCAGTATCAGTAGTAAGCAGTAGCGGTAGCAGTAGAAGCAGTAACAGCAGTAGAAGCAGCAGTTGTAGTAGTGGTAGTATCACTAGTAGTAGTCGTAGTAATAGTAGTAGTAGTAGTAGCAGTAGTAGTAGTAGTAGTAGTAGTAGTAGTATCACTAGTAGTAGTAGTAGTAGTAGTAGTAGTAGTAGTAGTAGCAGTAGTAGTAGTAGTACTGGTGGAGGTTATTATTAAGTTTTGCCTTTGTCTCCTTTACTAAGAAACGAGTTATACTAGTACCAGTACTAGTAGTATTACCATATCCAGCGTAGCAGATGTGTGGTGTAGCACGTTAAATCCCCTCAGGAAGTACAGGCCTCGGGGGAGTCTTAACTCTGTTTCCTTTTAGTCGGTGCTTCATAGGAAACGTCACTAATGTTCTCATTCATCTCCACATGCTTCAGCTGCTGTTGACTTCCTGTCTCTGCCACTGTTACGAGCTGTTTACATCTCTACAGTCTCATTACTTGTACTAAAAATAAGAAGTTGATATCACAAGCGCAGATTTAGAAGGACTGAATCATTTCTATCTTGATAAAGACCACATGTATTTGGGTGAACATTCTGGTTCTGTTCTGGAGGCTGGATGTTATAAGGGTAGACAAGATAAAGTATTGACAATTGAACATTGTTGTGTTTTTGAATTATTTTTGAAAGCAGTATGAAGTCCTTACTTTTGAAGGTGTATTAACTTTCCTGTTTGAGGGTCCTTTGCGCCTACTTCTCTCCTTGGTGATGTTATTGCAGAATGTTTTACAGTACAGCATTAAAACACGCATCAAGCACCATCAGATGAAGAAGCAAGATTGTTCGGACATGTTTTTTGGCATCACTTCCACAAAATTAAAAGTGCACTGTGTAACCTTTCTGAAATAGCGTCTGCCACGTGCTTGTCTCCATGGATATATTATTACCTTGATTTATCCACAGTATGAAAATAAACTTGGTAATCACAGTGGAGACAAGTTAATGGTCAGGAGAAACAATAAGAGTTATAAAATATCTGTAATTGAATAAATGTAAAGCAGATATGTTTAATGCTCTAATGTGGAACATCCATGAAGACAAACAAGTAGCGGAGCCTTAGAAGTTGAATAGTGCAACTTTAAATGCAAAACTGTCTCTGATGTAAAACCAAATGAGCAGATTATTTTTGTCAGCGTGGATAAGGGTCACCCTGAAGCCCATCCACAAGTGAAGGTGACATAGGTGTATTGTCATAACCTGGAAGACATGAGACAGACTGTTTTAAAGCTGTGGGCTGATGGAGCAGAGACAAACAGCTGTTCACCCCTGTAACCTCCAGACTCTTATACAACAGAGATACTGTGAGACAGGTTAATGACAGTACAGTGCAGGTCAGTCAGTCGTGGTGTCAAATGTTGGATTAACTATTTATAAAGAAGAAGAAGGTTAATCGTAATCCCATCTATACTATATGTTGCGCAGTGGTCGACATGATTTAGGTTGATTTGCACAAATAATGCACCTGAATCTATTCAGGCAGACAAGGAGAACATGCAAGAAGAAAGGCTACACAAGAGATGAAAAATAAACAGTCTCTTTATTAAAGGTCCTATATTACACGGAATTGACCCTTTAAGACATTTTATACTTTAAGGCATGTGAACTTTAAGACATGTTATAAATGTTGTCACCTCTTCAAAATCATACCTGGAGTTGTGTTTTGTTTCTTTTACATATGTTTGAGTAACCCTTTATTATTAGTCTGTGTACATATCCAAAGCTCAAGATGATCTGCTCCACCACGTCATGTCATGTAGTGATAGTTTTCTTTTACCTTTTGTTCAGTAGAGATTGTCAAGTCCAGGGCTGAAATTATCCAAATAATTCTAGTGAAGGTGTATGGAGTTTAAAAACACAGTGAAGCACTTCCTGTATTACCACACAACATCACAAGGAGTGTTTTCTGTTTGACCCCTGGTATGTTTTTTAATGAAGAAACGGCATTATCACAGATCAGAAAATTAAGTTAGGTTGATTTAGGTCTAAATCAATATTCACCAAATTTTATTATACACATGTGATTCTTAAAGTTTTTACATCAAGCAAGCACCACCACTTTTTTAGTTTTTTTTGTTTTAGAAATTTTCAATCAGTTTCAAACCCTTGGCACCCAAACTATTTGTACTGTTACTATTGAGAATATCAAATAACAAAAACACTGATATTGTATCTCAAACTTTCTACTCATCCAACCTGTTTGAACAATGACTCATTCTCTCACACAACCAAAACAACATCATATATACTTCCTATACCTTAGGCAACTTTATGACATTAGATCTCTCTTTCTCTCTTTGACTGGTACCTTCATTCTGTAGGTTTGCCACAGAAAACCAGTTATTGTTGCAAAGTCTGGTTTGTTTTTTACCCAGATGCCCTTCCTGTAATAATTGGATTCTTATATAAAATTGGAGAGAGCAAAGGAGCAATGCCTCCATTAGATCCCAGCCCATGGTCCATCACCTTCCTCTCTCCATAGAGATGCTAATGATTTGCCTGAAATTAGTCTGTCTCCATGAAGACAAGCAGCTGACACCATCAGGCCAATTGACAGCTCAGATCTGTGGAGAGGACACTCTACTCACAATAACACTTTATGTTTTTTAAGGAACTTTTGAGCAATAAAAACTCCTGCAATTTAATGAATGCAATTAATGTATATAAAGCCATAGTGTGGAAAGTGATGGCAAAGTGATGACATGAAACAAGCAGGTAGCAAAACCGCCATCAGAAAAGTTTTATACGTTTTATAGTGTACCTTTAAGATGAAATTTTGGGAAACATGTGAAGCAGAAATTACCTTACAATGTCTATACCTCCCTGTGTCTTTCATCGTAGTTGGACTAATTTTCTGGACCATTTATTTTTAGATCTAAGCGTTTTGTGATGAGAAGTCAATGTGAGTGATTGCTGAGGGCTGTCAAGGTTAAAGACACAGACAGACAGATGCTAATGCGAATGTGAATGCTATTACAATGGAGCATGTTCTGGAGAGAGGCAGCAGACTGAGAGCAAATTACACCTGCACCTGTTTCAAGGACAATACGGGAGCACATCTGGATCCACACAAATATTAGTCCTGCTGGGAACATAGCCATACAGAACAATTGACTTAGACACAATAGGTTAAATCCCATGTCTTTGCATTTTAATAGCTACTTAACTATAAAAACAATTAAGAAACTTTGACAAAGAACTGCACTGCAGATCTTCCATTTAGTTTCTTCATGAAAATACCACAAATAATGCTTCTTTTTGTCACTTTATATCAACTTTGAGCTCACATTTACAGTATATCTTCTCTTTGGTTTTCCTTTAGGCCTCTTGTCTGGTAGCTCTGACCTCAACTTTATAAGTGTCTGAGAGCAAGACCAAAATGGAAACTGGATATGTGCGACAATCTCAGTTGAGTTCCATACATTATCAATCCTGGCTGATTCTCATTGAAAGTGGTTAAAAGAGTAATAAGAGCTGAACAAGCAGAGAAATAAATGAGAGAAAAGCACAAACAATGGTCCACAAATGCACAAAGCACTTCCTTCTGCAAATGTTTCAAAAACAAAATAGTTTGTATTTCTGCTAAACCTAATTAAAATTCATCTGTCAGTGTCTCTATGATTGTTTTGTCTCACCTTTGGCTTCCTACTAAACCACAATACTGTCCTGTGATTGGTCCAGTCCCCAGCAGACAGGCCCAGTTGCATCATTGAGATTCTTGTGAGTCTGTGAACTCACAAATATAGTGAGAATTTATTTTGATACACAAGGTTAACCAACAACTCTCACATCAAATGAAAAATATGGTAAAATAGGAACAATGATGAACACCATAACAATTAATCTGCAGCACCAGAATGAGGCAAAATTTGCACTGAACTGAAATCACAAAAGTATGTCTTATGTTCAAAATCGTGCATGCCATTTAATTTAGAAAACAGAACTTCAAGCTGCCTGAGTTTGCCCTGAAGTAGCAGCATTTCAAAAACCGCACATTTTATCCTAAAATAGTACTGTGGATTTATGAAGTGTATTTTAAAGGTCTGACATATTTTTTTCTATCATTATTTGACACATAGTAAACAATATATGTCAAATATATTATACATTGCCATGTCTCACCATTGTTCTCAACAAAATCTGGAATCTGGAATCAAATCAAAATAGAAATACAAGTTGGAGCAATCATCAAATGGCAAAAGCTACAATTATTTAGATAATAGAACATCTTCTGCACAGACCAAAATATCCTCTACAAACCCTACTGGAGTTATTCCAAAATTCTGCTGCCAAAACACAAACACAAAAACACACAAATTAAAATGTGTCCTTCAGCTGGGTGCAGATGTTTTATAGATGAGCCTGCAGCCAGATCTTCACGCTAACACTGAGAATCACTGCAGGAGGATCTGTGCTTCATGTGATGTTCAGATGGCCCTGGCCTCAAAACCATTTGGGGAGGATTTCTAAAATAGTTTAACAACAATAACAACAACAAAAACAATGGAAATATAGTGGAAGTCAATCCTTCATTATGTACAGAATAAGATTAAAAACTGCTTTAATCATAGCTATAATTAGTATGTGCCTCTTCTGCCCTCAGTTCTACTGCAGCAGCAAACCCAACAGTGTGTCCTGAGGCAGTCTGAAGAAGGCAAGGCAACATTAGAGCACCACCCTGCTGCTCAGTCACTTTGGAAATTGTCCCGTAAATGTAGTGCATGATAGCCCTAATGTTGATTTACAGTTATAATAAGAGCTGCACACTGTATTGAAAAGAATGTTGATATTGTGATATTAGCTAATACAGTAATTGAGATAATAATAATAACTGCTAATTGTTCAACTAATTCATTAACAATGAAAAAGTCTATTAAAAATGTTCTTTGTTAAATACAAATTTACAATTTATTATTACAATTTAGTCATATTAATCTCTGTTAATGTTTGTTTTGACACAGTATAGCAGAAATTTTTGGTTTGTTTTAATTTAACATAAATGATTTTGAAGTATGATATATTGCTGAAGTAAATATAAAGGATAAATGATAAAATTGAAATTTTTGCCACTGACACATTAACCCAAGAAAGGATTTATACCACAAAAACCATTCTAAATCTACAACATTGTAAAAAGAAAAAAAAAAAAAAAAAACAAAACACACACACAAACTGCAATAAATAAACAGCAGAATGAAACAAGTTTTAATTTAGTTTGCATCTGTAATGAATCACAGAAGTTAATTCAACCTTATTAGAACTTCAGTCTTATCCTATAGCCA